GCACATATACACCATGGAATACTATGCAGCCTCCAAAAATGATGAGTTCGTGTCCGTTGTAGGTACATGGTTGAACCTGAAAACCATCATTCTCAGCAAACTGACACAAGAACAGAAAATCAAACACCACATGTTCTCACTCATAGGTGGGTGCTGAACAATGAGAACACATGGACACAGGGAGGGGAGCATCACACACTGGGGTCTGTTGGGGGGAAATAGGAGAGTGACAGCGCGGGGTGGGGAGTTGGGGAGAGATAGCATGGGGAGAAATGCCAGATAAAGGTGAAGGGGAGGAAGGCAGTAAATCACGCTGTCATGTGTGTACCTATGCAACAATCTTCCAAAACCTGTACCCCAAAACCTAAAATGCAATAAAAAAATATGGCTTTAGAATGTCAGATTGTGAAGTCCATTTCTGTAAAAACAGTCGTTAGCTTGAGTAGCCCTACATTTTGTACCTCATCCTGACTTTTTAGAAGCAATTATAGGTGGTTTAGAAACAATTTTCATACTTTGCTGTCAGAATGCAAATTTCTGAAAGAGTATGTATCCCACCTACCTTTACTCAGATCCATTCTTAGTTGCTAGGAAAGTGAACCATGGTAAATTTGCATGAACAACAATGCTTTCTGTGTTTGAATTAGTCCATCTTCCTAGAAGCATTACTGCAACTGTATTTTACTTCTCAGAGTCAACTTGTACATATTAGTTGAATTGTGCACTCTCATAGTTGGATTATCACATCCTAAATAAACTAACTCTTCAGCAATCACCTTTATCTTACACTTACCTTTATGAAATTAGCTTAGCAAGAGTCACCTAGGTAAACAAATTTCCATTGTTATCTGTAGCAAGAATATAATGTAGAACAAGTAAGCTATGGAAGCACCAATCTAGACAGTGAGCCTTTGAAGATTTTTAACCAGGCCCAAATGGGACACAATTTAGAACTCTGTGGGTCACATTTGAACACATGCCCAGTTCAGCAGCATTTAGTTGAACAGTGCTTCTTGTCTGTTTCATCAACTCTAGACACTAAAAGCCCGATTTAAGTTGCTATATACAGAGTCAAAGAATTAAATGTTAGTGAAAAGGAGCTGGAAGCAAAGAAAAGTTTCAAATCATACTATCAACCAATGATTTAATGAGACATTATAGTATTGCCAAATCTCAGACTATTTGTCAGAAAATTTATATTGGCTCATCTTTTCATTATGATAAGGGCAGGAAAATCTTTTGTCAGAGAGAGTTCACCTGATTAACATCAGAAAATGTGTGAATGAGTACACATCAAGAAGTAAAGTTAGGGTAAGAAAACAAACCATTGAAACAAAACATTATTAACTATCAAATTATGCAAAATTATGACAAACAGGATTATATTAAGTTACTAGTTTAAAATTCTAAGTATAATTGCATTTTCAAAATTTTAAACACTTTTTAGGTAAACTGTTCATCAATATTTTATGGTCATGAAAAATAAATGAAGTGTTTACTTTGTTCTGGGAGTTTATGTATTTCACATGAAATCTAGTTTGAGAAGCATGTAGATGTATAAAATAATCTGGGAAATAACATCCAACACTAACAAGTGTACCTCCAACTTAACATGTATATATCTACACTTACTTGTCAGTTCCTCCAGTGACTACACTCAGCCCAATTTTAAGCATATTGTGAATGAACATCATGTAATCTTTTATAATATGGGTGCACATGTAGGAGAAAATATGCTTAGCATTTGGAGTCCATACATAAGGTAAAGCATCACTCTGTTACGTTGAACCTCACAGTGCATGAAAGAGTTACCTTTACATAGCACTGTCTGAGCTTCAACTTTTACATGTGACCATTTATAATAGGATCCTATTTATAATACGGACAACAATATCCCCTGCAGTTTTATTGCCTCATGAATGTCTTGGTGATTGCTTTGTTGACTGCTTCTTTCACGTCCTTGTTTCTCAGACTGTAGATCATGGGATTCAACATGGGAATTACTGTGGTGTAAAACACAGCCACCATTTTCCCCTGCTCTACAGATTCCTCAGTGGGTCTCCTGAGATACATGAAGATGAGAGTCCCATAAAAGAGAGACACAGCCATCAAGTGGGACCCACAGGTGGAGAACGCCTTCCTCCTGCCATCGGCAGAGCGCATGCGTAGCACAGCTACTACAATGAGAGTGTAGGAGATGAGGACCACTGAGAGGGAATACGTGAAGTTAATTCCAGCTATAACAATCATTGTGATTTCTTTGATGTGCACTCCCCCACAGGCAATCTTGATGAGAGGGGGATCTGCACAATAGAAGTGATTGATTTCAAAGATTCCACAGAAGTACAAGCCATAAGTCCATAGTGTGCATATTAGGCTGACAGAGAATCCATAGACATAAGGCACAGAGATGAGTCGAACACACACAGTCCTGGACATTTTACTGCCATAAAGCAGAGGGTTGCAGATGGCCATGTACCTGTCAAAGGCCATCACAGCCAGGATATAGACCTCCACGTGGACAAGAGCAATGAAAAAATAGCACTGCACCAAGCACCCCACATATGAAATGGTTTTTGTCTCTGATAGTAAGTTTTCCAGCATTTTAGGGGTAACATTGGAGGAGAAGCACACGTCCACAAAAGACAGATGACTCAGGAAAAAGTACATGGGGCTCTGAAGCTGAGGACTGATGCTAATCAAAATGATCATACCAATATTTCCCAACAGACTGAGCATGTAAACCGCTAAGAACACCACGAAGAAGAGAACCTGTAGCTCTTGACGACAGGTCAGCCCCAGGAGAATAAATTCTGCCACATCCGTGAAATTAGGCATTGCCTTAGTATAGACCAAGTCTGTGTCGCCTATGGAGAACATTTTTTTAAAAAGGAGGTAAATGGATTTGTTTTATTCTGGAAACTTTGAGTTGCATTTATCCTTATTTTAATTCAAATAATTTAAAAGCAACGTATACTTTGAAAAATGTATAATACAGGGTTTAAATACACTATATGTAAAATGAACTGAATATGTAACACAGTAGACATTGCAGTTTTAGTTCTGATCTAAGTTCCCTTTTTGCTGTAGATGTCCATGATTGTAGTTTCACCTTTTTGGCTCATCATAAACGTCAAAATAGGTAAAGAGCTGCAGATGCTGCAGTCAGAGATTTTCCTATGTAAAAATTTCTAATCTCCACTGATTTTCTCTCATTAGTAGAATTTGACTTAGGTTAGTTTTATTGCTGTGTTAAGCATAAAATATATGAAATAAAGCATCATGGCATCTAAGAGACATAAACTAACACTACTTCATTTTGTTTCAGTCACTGTGTGATGTGTTTTTCTTATTTTACATAAAATCATTTGCGCTTTAATATTTAGGTTGGTGCAAAAGTTATTGTGGGTTTTGCTGTTACTCTCAATGGCAAAAAATGCAATTACTTTTGCACCAACCTAATATTAGTGTGTTTTGTTTACCTTAAAACTCTTGAGACTGTCTTGCTTAGTAGTTACATTTAACAGAAATTCAGAGATAGTTCTTCATATGATTTCTACATGCCCTGATCTCTAGATGCACTTCACGTAATACAATAATCCAGAATTATTTAAACTCCCTAAAAAATATTTTTCTGGAGGCAACAGTTCCAGCCTTGTAATATGTTTAAGAATAGCTAACTGCTATTGAATGTCCATGAAAACTCTGGCATGCAAACATTCTACAAAACAGGTTTTATTTGTATGCCCATTTTACAAATGAGGAAGCTAAACACTGAGACATTAAGAAAGTCTTTCTGGGTCAGAAATCTACTAATTAGCAGGAATGAGATACAAAAAATAATTACTTAAGTGTTGTATGTTTAATAATCTTCTATTGCTGCCTTTTTGACAGCCTCTTCTACCATTACATTTCATTTAAAATTCAGTTTGCTTATCCTCCACAATGGGAGGAAGTTATCTCTTTAATAGTTCATCTTTAATAGACTTTTAAGAGTTTTGGTTATCCAGAGCAGCCTGGACCACTAAGATAGTAGATCATTGCAACTCTCTACTTCTCCAAGTTTAGGTGATTTCATCATTTCTGGATCAGATGGCAATGATTTCCGGGAGAAAATAAATTTAATACCTAAATGTGTATCACCTATCAAAATAATCAAGAAGATTGAAATTGTAATTTATAAATAGAAAACCAAAATTCATTTCTATTAATATTTTAGGAACTATCCCTCAAGAAAAACAGTGAAGATATAAATTATTGGACCAATCATGCCCTCTGACCCTATATCCCCACCTCAATTCACATATATATTTAAACAATATTATGAAAGTTAATAGTTTTTGTTTGTAAAGGAGAATGAGAAGACAAAAAAATGAAATAAAGAGCTTTGCAAATCTGCATTATAATAAGCTCATTCTTACAAAGTTTTGAATAAACCAGGGACAGAAGTATAAAAAGTTCCCAGTAATATAATTTCATAAAAGAAAATACTCTGATAATAAATAAGACTGTGAATAATGTGTTAGGTTCCTCTTCAAGACAGAGAGTGAAATTAAAAGATTTGACTGCATCAATCTCTATTGCAAAAAGTGAAGAACTTGCAGACCTACCTTCAGCACAGAGAGTAGCAAATGATAAATTCTCACTATTTATAATAGTACATTAAACATAGGAACACTGGGATCATCTCCCTAAAGGACTCTCCAGGTAATTATGAAAGGAATAATAAGTAAAATTCTGTACACAGCTCAGGGGTAGAAGCAGTTAAGGAACATGGATGAGAAGAAAAAGTTTTAAATAAAATAGGCCAAAATTCTTGAACATAACATAATCTTATCTCTCACTTTCACATGGGCTCTGTCCTCTGTTATTACACATTGACAACCATGCATTTCAGCAATTATATTTATATAATATAAATTTACATTGTATAAAATTTACATTATATAAAATTATATTATATAAAATAATTACTATATAAAATTATATCATATAAAATTTCAGTGATTCCCTTTCTTTCAGGTTCAACAACTGTTCTAAAAAGCACCATCTGTCAGGATAGATGATCATACCAATGTACGTCCCATGCATCTCTTGATTGTGTTTAGATGTCAGATACTCAGAGTATAAATCATTAGCAGAATGACTATAAGTAGAAGTCGTTACTGATGTCAGACAGGTCTGGAATTATACCTTTACTATACCCTTTTCACTATGTTGCCTTGAACAAGCAATGTACTTTTGAGTCTCAAAGTACTCATCTGTAGAATACGGAAACTATTATCTTACATTTTTGTTGAGGTGATTTTAGAATAACATAGGGATAACTCTCTTCCCAATGCCTGTTGCATGTGAGACACACAGAAGTTCTCATTATTTGTGCAGCTTTACCTCTAAACAGTTTACTGGTATTATCTTACCACTTCATTAGGGTTGTGATTAATATTATCCTTACATTGAAGGATAAAATTATTCCTATGTGAAATAAGTATGATGTGTCGGGCTTGGTGGCTCTTGCCTATAATCCCAGCACTTTGGGAGGCCTGGGCAGATGGATCACTTGAGGTCAGGAGTTCAAGATCAGCCTGACTAACATGGTGAAACGCCATCTCTATAAAATTACAAAAATTAGCCAGGCATAATGGTGGGTTCCTGTAATCCTAACTACTTGACAGGCTGAGGTGGGAGAATCACTTGAACCCAGGAGGCAGAGGTTGTAGTGAGCCAAGATCATGCTACTGCACTACAGCCTGGGTGACAGAGCAAGACTTCATCTCAAAAAAAAATTGTGATGTTAATTTTTTCCTTTTTTAATTTTAGGTTTAGGGGTACCTAAGCAGGTTTGTTATACAGACAAAGTGGGTGTCACTGAGGCTTAGGGTACAGATTATTTCATCACTTAGCTAATAAGCATAGCACCTGATAGGTACTTTTTTGCTCCTCTCCCTCCTCCTACCCTCCATTCTGAAGTAGGCCATGGTGTCTGTTGTTCCCCTCTATAGCTCCCACTTATAAGTAAGAACATGTGGTACCGGCAAGTTTAGATACTATCAAGCCAAAGAATGCGGATGCAAACTTAGATTATGTAAACTCTAAAATGTATACTTCATCAATTTAGTCTGGAAAATTATGAACAGAATTGTGCTTGGGCAAAGTTTTTTGGTGCTAAACTACTCAGAATTTATAAATTTCTTCTTAAATATCCCTCATTTCCAATGATGGCATGTTTTGAGTTTCATATTTTTAAGATAATTACAGAAGATTGTAGTTCTTTTTGTAATAGAACTAAAAACGTGTACTTTTTAAACCTAATCTCTTTTTTAATATAAGCATATTCTCAATGATTAGAGAAGAAAACCATGTGATTAAATAATTTATCAGCCTACAATGTCTTAGCAATATTTTTAATCTAATCTCATATTTCCATTCTTTTCGAGTGAAGAACAAAAGACTGTTTACAGTAACCGTCAAAGTCAAGTTAAAGGGTAAGTTATTTTTCCACATTCACACTGTATGTACATATCCTGGATATAGAGGAAGTGATATCATAGATATCACCACTAGATATCATATACTGCTATGTTCTAGAGATTCAAAGATAAGTACGACATACAGATTAATGTCAGTATTTATGAAGGTACTAACATAAATCCAAGTTTCTAAAACTTGGATGTGTTCTTATAGAGTTCTAATAGGGACAGAAATTTAAGAAATGACTGATTCTTCTTTGGGGATTTAGTGGAATTCTAGAAAAAGGTTTCTTGGATATTTTGCAAATTTATTTTCAAATATAGGCTGTATCATATAGGAAACTTCTAGAAAATGTTTCTCAAATTACATTTCTAAGAAAACATTTGTGCTAGGCATGATGTTAATAGATACAGTGGAGAATAATTTACAAATGTTTCTCCATAAAATTGGACATCTTTGTGCTCCATCAAATCTCTTAGTGATTCACAACCTACCTAGTAAAGTTGTTTACCATACACATCATTCATTTAACTTAAAAACTTACACTCACACTCACATACACATGTCCCTCTCTATATATGTATATACATATGTATATATACACACATACATATATGTCTATAAACATTCATATAGCTTGTATATATTTCTCTCATATATGTGCGAGATAAATTTCATTAATTTGATATTTTGTCAATGAACATTCACATTCTGTAGAACACAGAGTGCAAGTCTGTCTAATAAGAATCTCGAGATAGCCTGTCAGCAGGACAGTATATTTGTTGGAGATGGGATTGTATCATATCTTCTAATAGCTATATATTGTCTCTAAAACAAACAATTATTCCCAAGATCTTTCTTGTAATCTGCAGTGTTAAACCGTGTTCAAGCAAAATTTGATAAAAATTTATCGTTATTACCGGTTAGTAGTTACCAAAAACTTCGGAGAGTAGGCAGGAGGTAACTTTCATTGTAAAAATAAATGAACACTTACACATTGATCATCCAAAACTTTTCAACCACAAACTTGGAAAGGAAATTTTTCTCTGGATAGAGGAGAAAATTACCAACAAAAACAGATTACATTCTACATGACTCCAGAGTTTTAGTCTAATTAATAAAAACCTGAAGCATTAATTAGTGGATAAATTTTTAAAAATGAATAATAGTTGAATTTCTGAAAACTATATAAACTGCCTTAGGATATATTTATAAATAAGCTGTAAAATTTGTTATAGAATTGTTAAAATCTCTAAGATCCTTAGATTCATAAGCAAACAGAGATTACATACATATCAACTGATAACTCCAGATATCTGATTCAACAGTTTATGCCTATGGCTGCCTGAAATGTTCTTCTTAATGTAATTTTCAAAGACAAGCAATAGGGGGATTCTTATTTGGAAAGTCATATCTCATTC